GTGTGTGTGTGTGTGTGTGTGTGTGTGTGTGTGTGTGTGTGTGTGTGTGTGTGTGTGTGTGTGTCTGTTCATCGGGAAACTAAGTGGAAGGAGCTAAAACTCTGATCTTAAGCAACAAGGAACAATGTGGACCAGCTAAAAAGAGGCAGATTTAGGCACAACGTCTGGAAAAACTTCCCAACAATGACTGCTGTCTCCAAAGGCACATGAATGGGGGGCTCAGGGGGACTTCACTGCTGGGCTGGGGTGGGGGAGGGGAGGCCGGAAGACCCCTTGTCAGGCATGTGGTAGAGGGGGTTCCTGCCTAGCTGGTCTCGAAGGGGCCTTCCAACTCCAACCCTAAATTAATTCAGAATCTATCAAAGGATAAATTGCAAAGCCACTGTTGTTATTTTTTTTCCCAAGGATAACATCCCTGTAGGGAAAAAACAGTATTTTACCTTTTGATTTGGATGTTTCATCTCAAATCTCAAAACCCTTTAAGACATGAGTAATTATTAGATTATACTTTTCTAGGTATGTTGGGTTCTCTCCAACCACCCTCTCTGACTCCCTCTTTCAAGGCAAAGACTAGGCTAGTTTTTATCACATAAAGCAGGTATTTAATAAACACTGAACTGTGTGTTAAATAAAGATTACAACCTCTTGCTTTATTTCTTTTATCATCTTCTGTATGGCTGTCACTCATACATTAAAAGCAAATATTCTTATCAATGAGGGTCCCAAATAGCCACAGTAGAATTGCTACAGGGGACAAACCTGGATTGGAATCTGGAAATAATTGCCTTTATGATCAATCACAGGACTGTATTAAATTACTTACTTGTCCACAGTCGTTAACACAGTAAGGGCATCCTTCTGCAAATGCACCAGTTTACAGGCTTTAATACGAAGCACCTCTAAGGGAGTATAAGATCGAGGTGGGGGGTGGAGGTCCCAGACCACCAGCTTCCCCTCCATTGTGGCAGTCAAAATCTGTCTGGTCACAAAATGAAAGATGGACTGGCTAAATTTTCCCACAATCTTGTTGAACGTCTGCATTTTGAAAGAAAAGTTATGGGTTACCATTTGTACATATAAGGTAAAGACGGCCTGTGAGACACCTTTAGTTGCCTGACCAGTAGGCATCACCAAGTCAGTACGTCCAAAATGGATCTTATATATTATATAATCTTTGCTCCCCAAACCGTCCTTATTCTTAATATTCCCATTTCTGTTGAAGGCACCACAATCCGCATTAGCCTCAGAGTTATCCTTGACTTTTCACTCTCTCTCACCCCTCTCCATTCCATGCCATCAGCTGCAAATCTTGATTCTTTCTCTATAATAGAAATTTTACCCAACCCCTTTTCTCAACTCATAAGCCCCCTCCCTCATTCCAGCCCTCATTCTTCCCTCTAGACTACTGAAGTAACCTAATTGGACTCTCTGCATCCACCTTCTCTCCTTTCCAATCTATCCTCTATATACCTGCCATATTGATATTTCTAAAGCATAAGAATGACCATGCCACTTTTTTTTGCTCAATTTCAATGACTCCCTATTGCTTCTAGGATAAATACAAACACTTCTGTTTAGGTAGCTGGATGGTACAGTGGGTAGAAGACTGGACCTGGAGTCAAGAAGACCCAAGTTCAAATATGGCCTCAGACACTTATTGTGTCTGAGTTTTGTGACCCTGAGCAAGCCACTTAACCTCAGTTTCCTCATCCCTAAACTGAGGATAATAACAGCACTGTGCTTAGCACAGTGACTGGCACATAGTAGGTGCTATGTAAATATTGTTAAAGCTCTTCACAATTTGAGTCCAGCCTACCTTTCCAGGTTTACTGCACAAACATTCTGCTTTCTGGATAAAACAACCTTTTGCTATTTCCCACCCCTCACATTCCATGTCCCACCTGTTTCTCTGCCTTTGCATAGGTTGTGTGCCCCAAGCCTGGAATGTTCTCTCTACTTGCCCTCATCTGTTGGAATCTCTGTCTCTATTCAGGGTTCAGCTTAAGTACCACCTCCTAAATTATGTTGTATTTGCTTATCTGTTCTCCCTTGTTCTCCCTGCCTTCAGTTAAGGCTGGGTGACCACCTTAATCAATCAATCAGTCCACAAGCATTTATTAACTTCCTCCTATGTACCAGGCACTAGGGATACAAGGACAAGACATCCCCTGCCCTTGAGGAAATGACCTTCTACTTGTCAGGGACGTTATGGAGAAGGTTCTTGGTGAGTTAGGGGTTGGACTCAATGGCCTTTGAGGGCCCTTCCAACTTTGAGATTCTGTGATTGGAAGACCTGAGGTCAAATCCTAGCTCTTCTCCTTATTACAGTGTGACCTCAGGGGAGTCATCTTAATTCTTTGGCCTCTATTTCTTCATATGGAAAGTATGGGTGCTAAACCTGTAAACATCTAATCTTAGTTAACAATTAAACATTCTTTCTAAAAATCTGATGAGTGAAAATACAATAAACATACTCACTTTTTCAGTTAAAACAGGCATACTAAAGTGAAGAATGCCATTTGCTTCATCCTGTAAATACAGGTAAATATTAATATTTCTGTTCCAAAAGAGGAATTTTATAACATCAGGACAGTCACAATAAAAGCACATAAAAGGACTAACAGTGTTAAGAGGAGTTTATCTTGTGGAGTTAAAATGATCAGTTGCCTGTTTCACACTCATCCCAGAACCAAAGCCCAGACAAAAACAGAGAAATGAAAAGACATTTCGGATACTATAAATTACAGAGTTAAAAACAAACCTATAACCCCCTGCGGAAGCAACCTTCTGCTACTCCTTTCTTCCTGCCTCCTTTCCCATCTGACATTTTCAGGATCTCTAGGCACCAGAAGAGAGGGTAGGATGGACCAGGAATGGCCAGTGGGGGGGCGGGGGAGGAGGTGGGGAGCTGTCCAAGGTGACATTCCAGCACAACCTTCCAAAGGCCCAGACACATTGCTCTGTGCTGCTCCCTTCTCTTCCTCAGGGCAATTCTGCACCATCAAAATACCATCAGCACAAACACAGAGAAAGGTTGGGCCAGGTGAGCACCTTGGACTCCTCCAGTGCCCACAGGATTCACGCGGCAGGCAGCCAGGAGTCAGGTCAAAGGTTATGGAAGCGGCACCGGGAGTTTGGTGTCAGAATACTGGATGGAGACAGTGCAAGTTGACTGACCATGTTTCCTCTCAGGGGGTAAAAGTTCTGGAGATCGACTCAATATAAAGAACTTAATCCCAATTAGGCATCCCAAGAACAGGACGGGCTGCTTTGAAAGCCGCAAGCTTCACATCCCAGGCCTTCAAGGCTGTGATCACAGGCTGGGGATGGTGTAGGGGAGATGCCTGCTTCCTGGGGAGGCCTTGGGATGAACAGCCCCTTCTGATCTAAGATTCCGGGACTGATCCGCATCCGTTCTGAGCTTCCAGGAAAGTCAGTTCTACCTTTAGCGTGCTGGTTTGAGTCAACTCGGCATTCAGGAATTTCATTTTTGAATATTTCTGACTACATATGGAAACAGTGAACTGTATTTAAGAACAAATCCTTCAAGTTTCACCACTTCCTCCATGGGCATTTTATTTTAAAGAAATGTCTGCCGGAGGAAAATGTTTCTAGCTGTGCGGAAGGAGACTTTTCTCAAATATAACTTTTTTTATGATCTTAAAGAAAGCTTCTCAGAATCTGGAATTTCAGATTAAGGGTCGAAAAAGCAAGATATGAAATTATCTGAATCCAAACAGAGCTAAGGATGTTTTATCCTCTCAAAGTTGAGCCCTAAATCTAGTCCCTGCTTTGTATCTGGGCCCTGCAGTTTTTTCTGTCAGATTTGTGTCTTCCAGACTATGGGCCATTTTCACCTACAGTCGGTAGCAAACAGCAGGTACCAGCCAATGTCCCCCCATGGCTCCCTGGATGCAGCCTGTGCTTGGTTCCAGTCAACCTCCTCTTTGGGACCCCCTCGAGGCAGGGATAGCTCTATGCCCCTTGCTAGCAGGAAACAGTTTCAGAAGCCCAGACCTTCGCCCCTTACCCCAAAAGAATTTGAATCCTATTTGTTTGAGGGGGGAATGATGGGGTTGGGATCTGGGCCCCAGAAAGGAAAAACCCTGGACTTTGCCACAAGGCCAAATCTCTGGTGTTCATCTGAGGTCATAATCCCATCAACTGGCCTTTCATTGTGGCTATGCCCAATCTTTGCTAGCCTTAACCTAGCCTGGCCCTCCATTGTCTTACCTCCCTGTGGCCCCCTTCCCCCCCACTTCCCACCCTTAATCCTATCTAGGCTCCATCCTCCCTTGGCCACCCTAGGAGTTCTATTACCTCATAGACTACTTGACCACTCCTAGATCCCTCCCATGGTCTTTCTGTGTATAAGGTTCATCCCATCTCCATTAGGATGCTTAGATTCCTAAATTCTAGACACTGCTTAGATTCTTATAATCTAGCCACTGCTCAGATTCCTAAAATCTAGCCACTGCTGACTCATGTTCAGACTCCTTAAACATCTGCTCAATATGGTGGATGTTCTAATAAACCTTATCTTTGGCTGGGAAAAAAAAAAGCAAGATATGCTTTGTAATAAGACTAGAATAGCACAATTTAAAGAAAATATTCTGAAATAGAATACCTTTTTTAACTTAATAAGAATCTAAATTGATGAGGGCATGAACACAGTGTCACACACCAAATGACCATGTTTCTTCCCCGCCCCAAATGCACCCTGCGTTCTCACTTACCCATTCGTAATACAGTACGTGGGTTTTGCTGTTGCTCACCAATTCTCTATGATTACCAGGATTGAAAATAATGTATTCCTGAATGTAAAAAGAAAAAACAACTGGTGAAAAACTCTATATTAGCATAAAATTTATACTTACAGTTTTCAGTGTTGAAAATCAGAGTCAGAGAACATGCTTCAGGTCCTACTTCAATAGCGGGGCATCCTGCCTCCTTCTCCTCTGAAGGGTATCGAGCTTGGCCCTCCTATGTGGTGGCCTCAGTGAATTATTCATTGTCTTGTCCCCTACACACAACTATAAACCCCATGAGGACAGGAACTTATGCAGCTGATCTCTGTGCTCCCTCCAGATTCTCAATAAATATTTGCTGATTGAATGACATAATAACCACACAGGAGAATAAAACAGACTACACAGATTGTTTTCATTCCATCAATTCAACAGGCCATTTAGTGAGCATCTGCTACAGATCCCGGATGCAAAGACAAAACTTATATAGTCCCTGCCAGTCACTTGGGTGGCCTCATGGAGGATGGACTGAAGTGGGGAGAGACTGGAGGTAGGCAGACGCCCCCCAGCAGGCTGCTGTCCACTCTCACTGCTCTGGAGCAGGCCCTCAGCTGTAGAGCATCTGTCTGCTTCCAGTCTCTCCCCTCTTCAGTCCCTCCTCAGCCACTGAAGAGATTTTCCTAAAGAGGAGGTCTGGCTATGTCACCCCGCAGCTGCTCAATACGCTCCAGTGATTCCCTATCGGCTTCAGGATCAAACACAAAATGCTCTGTTTGGCATTCAAGGCCCTTCATAACCTGCCCCCTCCTACCTTTCCCATCTTCTTACACATTACCTCCCCACACGTACTCTCTGACCCAGCGACACTTGTTCGTGGCTGTTCCACAAACAAGATACTTCATCTCTCATCTCCAGGGATTTTCTCTGTGTGTCCCCCATGCCTGACAGGCTCTCCCTCCTTATCTCTGCCTCTTGGCTTCCTTCAAGCCCCAACTAAAATCCCATCTGTTACTTTCTCAACCTTCTTAATTCTATTGCCTTCTCTCTGTTGATTATTTCCTATTTTTCCTGTATATACCTTGTTGTTTCCCTGTTAGAGTGTAAGCTCCTTGAGGGCAGGGACTGTCTTTTGCCTCTCTTTGTGTCCCCAGGGTTTAGCACAGTGCCTGCTTATTGACTGACTGACACATCTACAAAGTGGGAGTACCATTTGGGCCACTTGCTTCACTGGACTGCTCTGGGAATAAAATGACAGACTGGATGTCATCTCATACCCAACTTCCACTGGGACAAAAAGTGGTGCCCAGAGAACTTTCTGTGACAGGGTGTGCCCAGGGCTCAGCATTCATCTTTAAGTTAATCTTTCCTCTCTTCAGCTTCGACTAGTGGCACTCACTTGGACACCCAGATCTGGTTCCAGGGTGACAGAACACGCAGGCGTCTCGGTGTCCACTGTCCATCTCCAGATGCAGACTTTCTTTAAGGGAAGGTAACAAAGGGACACATAAGAGAAATTTTCTGAAGCAAGGTGTGAGCTCAGGCCCAGGACGGCTCTGCTGGCTAAAAGGGCACCTCCTGGTCACTGGGCACACCCAGCCGGCCAGTGCACAACCACTGAAGGAGACTGGGGGGGAATCAGAATGGGTACATTTCTTCTGAACACCCAACAGGCAGATTCAGGGCTGCCCGTCTGGAAGAGCTTTGACGAGAGAGATCTTTAATAAGAGACCCAGTGTATCCTTTACCTGGAATGTCCCATCATCGATGGTCACTAAAAACTTCGCATCATTTGTCATTGCCATGGCTTTAATGCCATTTCCTTCTGGACAGCTGTCAAATATTGTATGCACAGGAATACTGCAAAGCAATAGAGATGTGGACGCTCACTAAGACGTGACGGTCACCATTCAAGTTTAGAACTGACTACTTGATCCTCCCATGCCATCCAGCGTCAGGAAAATTCACGGTGTCATTTTTTTTTTTCACAAGGGCAGGGTCTGAACGTGGCTCTTCCCTTCCCATGACTTCTTCCCCCACTCTCCCAGTCCATCAGTCCCTTTCTGGTTTCATTTGCATCTCTGACCAACCTAGATCCCACAGTTCACCACTTCAACGCCACCTTCCATGTTACCTTAGATTCCTTCACCACCACCATTATACTCCCCCAAACCTCCCATCATGCCAACTGCTAAGCCTGGGTCACCCCCACTGAATGATTCCTCTGGTCTCTGGCTGGCTGGTGAACACTGCCAGAGAACACCCGGGTCCATAGCCAATTTACGCTAATTTCACCTGGGCCCTCACTGCACCCTGACAATCATTTCATCCATCTCTTGAATACGCCCTATCCCACGAACATAGATGGCAATTACCCTAAATCATCTTCATACTTGTCAGGTTTCAAGTGTTCCCCTTACTTCCCTAAATCTCAGCAAATGGCCTTATCTCCTCTAGGAATTCAGCCTGTTGGGTGCAAGCGTCGCCTCTATCCTATAATGACATTGCACCACCTCAGACTCTCTCTGTGCCCATACGCAGCCGTCCCTTCGAGACTAAGCACTGTGGAGGTCTTCCTTTGGCCTCCATCATCAGTCATGCCCCACCCTTTTCCATCTCTCGTCCCTCTCTCACTGTCTCTGCTCCCCAGCACGGTCCTCCATCTCCCCATCTACCCCTGCTCATCCAACACACCTGGAATTCCCTCCCTCCCTCTGCCCTTTCTCTGAGATCCGGCTCTGTTCTGCCCCCTCTGCAGATCCTTCCTTGCCTGCCCCAGTCCTCAATCACTGGTACCCAAAGCACTGTCTGCACGCTGTTTGGTACGTAGCCTGTGCTGCTGTGCAATGCAGGTTCTCTCCTTATGTGTCAAAAGACCATAAGCTCCTAGAGGGCAGCACCTCTTTGTGTCCACAAGGCTGAGCTTCACAAACACTTCTGGCTGATGATGTACTTGCTTTCATTGATTTATGTCATGGGGGCAAATCTCCCTGATCTGCTGGGCTGGGGCACTCCTATGAAGCCAAGCCTGCCCTCCCCCCGACTGGGCCTCCTGGTTAGTCCCTGTGTGTCCCTGTTACTGAAGCCTGTGTCAAAGATGACCAACAACTAAGCAAGAACCGCTTTGAAAAGAGAAACAACTTCTACTCTTGTCCTCCTCTTTTTCGAATATGGGGCTTGAGACCCTCACACGACAGCCCTCCCAGTACCTCTCTCTCCACTGGGGAATTGGGAGTTGGGATGGAGAAGGGAGCACTGAATTTGGGGATGGCTAGGACCACCCCCTTCTGTGCACAGTGACGGAGCTAGTCGGTCAGCATGTGGGACCTGCTGGGTTTTACTTGTGCATGTGCAATGGAAGAGACATGGTACGGTTTAACCTGCTCAGCGATGAAGAGGGTGTCATTTTTAATAAGGTGTTTCAGAGACTCTTGTCTAACACTCAACATACAGAGATAATTCTCAGTCTCCTGGCTCCAGACATCCACACCAATGCAAAGGGGAAGGGGGCAGGGGGAGAAGGGATTTCTGTGCTCTTTTCCTCCCTGGCTACAGTGATATATGCTACACACATACATGCATGCACACACAGACACATATACACACACATGTGTACACACACAGACGCGCGCACACAGCAGAGAGTGTATGTGCTTGTCTCTGCCCAGCCTCAGGTTGCCTCTTCAGCTTTGTTTCTTTCCTGAGAATGTGTGACAAGAGAGCGATCCTGAGATGGATGTTTCTAGCCAGGGTGACTATCTCACTCAGGTCAGGAGTTCCAGGGTGTTGACTGGCAGCAGGCGGGGCTTCCTGTGACCACACCCCTCTCAGAAGAGAAAGAGGACCACTCCCAAGAAGACTGGAGAAGACTTGGCTAGCCACAAGAGATGGACCTCAAGTTACTGCTTTGACAGCACAGATCAAAGGTGAAGGTGAAGCCCAGTCAGGAGCCCCACAAATCTTTGCCTCCCCAGATAGTAAAATAGGAGTTAAGAGTTGTTGTTTGTGTAAGTTACTACTGTGCTGTAAGAAATGGGGAAGAGGATGGTTTTGGAAAAAACTGGAGAGACATAATAACTGATGCAAAGTAAAATGAGCAGAACCAGGAGAACTATGTACACAGTAACAACAATATTGTAACAATAATCAACTGTGAAAGACTTACTAAGTCTGATCAAAGCAATGACCCACCACAGTTCCAAAGGACTCATGATGAAAAATGCTATCTCATGGGGAAGCTAGGTGGCGCAATGGATAGAGCACCAGCCCTGAAGTCAGGAGGACCTGAGTTCAAATCAGCACTCAGACCAAACACTTGACACTTACTAGCTGTGTGACCCTGGGCAAGTCACTTAACCCCAATTGCCTAAAAAAGAAAAGAAAAAAAATTGCTATCCCACCTCCAGATATAGAGCTGATGGACTCAAAATACAGACTGAAGCATGTTTTTCTCTTTCTTTTGCTTGTTTTTATTTTTATCTCTTTTTATTTTTTGAAATATGGCTAATGTAATGTTTTGACTGACCTCCTATGTATAACGGGTATTGTATTTTTTGACTTCCCAAGGGGGTAAGAGGTAGAGAAAGGGAAAGGGAAAACTGAATTTGAAACTGAAAATAAAATGAATTTTTAAAAAGTTATCATTCATGTTTTAATTTTTTGTCAATGCCTAGTTATAAATTTTTTGTGTTCAATGTGTTTCTTTTATGGTGGAAGAAAAAAATTTGGTATCTATTATTTTCTATATTGAGTAACTTTTCTTAAAGGAACCTAGTTTCTTTTTGGGAAGACCCTGGATATGAAAAAATCTAAACTTTAAAAAATTATCCCCAAGACTCCAGGGTTGGAGCATAATGAGCTAGACTGTGAGAAAAAACTCTGAGCTCTCTCTCTCTCTCTCTCTCTCTCTCTCTCTCTCTCTGGGTCCAGGCTCCAAAGACTGAAGCTGGCACCTTTTCCTTAAGATCTGCTGTGGTCAATTTAGTGAAGAGCCTGGTCCTTGGGTGACAGACTCATACTTGTAGCCTTTCCAGCCTGGTCAGACCTGCTTAAACTAGTGTTTGGCTGGCACAGCCTTAGCAAATTCAGGGTTACCTCCCAGGGGAGGGCTTAAGTGGCATTCCTTTCATTTACCCAGGGGAAAAGCATGTAGAATCTCAGGAATTTTTCTGATTTAGTTTCTCTTTTTTTTTTCATGGCTTCAAGAAGATGAGTTGAGAAATATACTGTCTATGAAAAAAGGAATTCGCAGAACTTACTGCTTATTATTAAAGCTCCTATGTGAAATAACTCAAGTAACTATACAAACATACAAATAAAAATAGTTTTTACTTTGAATAACAGTTCTGAGAACTTAGTACAAGTAAGGAAAATGAAGCTAAAAAATAAGAAATGAAACAAGAAGATCTCATAGTGAAAATGTCTTCAAATCAAAACTCTTCTACAAACTTGATTTTAAAAGCAGGAGGCAAAATAGAAGCAAAATAAGATGCGTGGAAAAAGAAATTTTAAAAAGAGAAAAATTTAGTGTTAAGGTTCAGCAGTTCAAACTCATTTATTATCACGTATTTCTTCTTTGTCTTCTTCAAAAGTATCCTTATAATTTGATTATTTTGCTGGCCTCCTTTGATAGCATTCAGGTAACAGGATTATTTTTAAACAGAAAAAAAGTTTGACTATGTCCTAATGATCAATTCAAAGGATTTGCTGATTTAAGGATTAAAAAAATCTCTTTTAAATGGAAAAACTGAGCACAGATTACTCATCTGCTCCTCACAGGGTGATCAGTTAGGATTGTCTTGGCAATATGAAGATGGAATGTGAAGAAATGTCGCTTGTTTAGCTTTGCACAAACCAGTGATGACAACAGGAAAGATAAAAATATTAAGTTCCCAGCCTACCCTGAGAAGCCATCCCATACGATCACCAGGCATCGGGGGCCTTTGTCAGCTGTTGCAATCCACCTTCTGTTTTCACTCACGCAAATACAAGTGATCACATTACTGTGGCCCTACAGAGACAGAGAAAAACATCCCCTGAAACACAAAGGCTAGAACCAGCCCCATACCTGGACAGTGTAGAGATCTGCTTGAGGGGGTGAAATTGGAGGGGGAGCATAAGGCCAGACTGGGTTCAAAACATCTTTACCTTGCGCTGATTTTGTATTTCTGTGGATACTTACAGTTTCTCTCAACAGAATGTAAGCTCCTTGAGGGTAGGGACTGTTGCATCTTTGTCTCTGAATCCCCAATACCTCACACAGTCTGGTAGGTAGGAAGAGCTTAATAAATGCTTATTGATTGACCGACTGACAGACTGACAAACACTACCAATGAGTTGGGCCTAGAATTGAACAGGAGGAGAGCAGGCTAGTTTGCCTTAGGGAAGTCAAAAAGTTCTTTAAATGACTAAGCTTCTCTCTGAGACAAAGTCTCATCATTTTAATGCTGATATTCAATTTATTAGTAATAATAGTAACAATAATGAATAGTAATAATAATCAGTAGTTGATTAGAGAGATGCAAATTAAAACAACTCTGAGATACCACCTCACACCCACCAGATGAGCTAACAAGACAGAGAAGGAAAAGGACAAATGCTGGAAGAGATGTGGAAAAATTGGGACACTAAAGCATTGTTAGTGGAGTGGTGAACTAGTCCGACCATTCTGGAGAATTTAGAACGATGCCCAAAGGGCTACAAAACTCTGCCTACCCTTTGACACAGTAATACCACTACTAGGTCTGAATCCCAAAGAGATCAAAGAAAAGGGGAAAGGTCCTATTTATACCAAAATATTTACAGCTGCTATTTTTGGGGTGGCAAAGAATTGGAAATTGAGAGGATGCCCTCAACTGAGCAACAGCTGAACAAGTTGTGGTATATGATTGTGATGGAATACTACAGTGGTGTAAGAAATGATGAGCAGGCTGGTTTCAGAAAAACCTGGAAAGACTTACATGAACTGATGCAAAGTGAAGTGAGCAGAACCGGGAGAACATGCAACACTGTAAGATGATCAACTATGAAAGACTTGGTTACTCCGATCAAGACAATGATTCACGACAATTCCGAAGGGCCCACGATGAAAAATGCTATCAACCTCCAGAGAGAGAACTGATGAACTCTGCATGCAAATGGAAGCATACTTTTCTCTCTCTCTCTCTTTTTTGATCTGTTTTTTCTTCTGTAATGTGGCTAATGTGGAAATATGTTTTGCATGACTTCACATGTATAATCAATATCAAATTGCTTGCCTTCTTAAGGAGGGGGGAGGGCTGGAGGAAATTTAGAACTCAAAATTTTTAAAATTTAATGTTTAAAAAAATTTTACATGTAATTGGGAAATATTTAATGAAAAAACAGACTGAAAAATAATAATTGGTAGCAATTTATGTTTATATAGCTCTTTGTAAAGCACAACCACCTTAGGAAGGTAGTATGCTACCCCCATTTTACAGATGAGAAAATTGAGGCACTAAGAGGTTAAGTGACTTGTGGGCAGTTAGGGGAGGGATGTCACAAAACTAATGAGTATCTGAAGAGAAATGAGAATCTAGGTATTTTGACTGCAAGTCAATGGCTTCATCTTGTATACCATTGCCAGACTTATCTTCTAAGTACTAAGTCAAATCTAGTGAGATGTCTGTACAGCACTTTGCCATCATTGAAGTCGTATATAAATGTCAACCGATTAATGCCTCCTTCCTGGTTTCATTTCCAAAGGCCACCTCACCCCACTGAGCTCATTTTCTCTCCCTGCTACTTCCAGCTCTCCCTATACTTGACTTATGCTAGGCTTCGGCTCATACTCCTTCCTCCCATCAGAGAAATGGTGGTCCTTTCCCCTCTTAGCCAAATCCTGCCCAGCCTTTAAAGGCTGATCTCCTTCCGGGACCCTTCCCCACAATTCAGCGCACACTGCACCTCAGGTCCTTCCTTTTCCTGGTTTGGAAGAATCAACAGTAGAAAGTTTTCACACTTAATTTGAGGGTGGGGGTAAGGTTGATCAGGGGACTCCATCAAATGTGTGACACCCTCCCCCCAATCCACTGAGTAAAATGATAGACTGTGAAGGTTAGTAACAGAGACAGTGAGATGTAGGGCAGAATGAGGAGGTTCCTGCTGATCCAGGGGAAAGGTTTCAGCAGGTGGCGATGCCTGCAGTGAAGGCATGCAACAGCATTAAGCGGAGACTGCAAAACTAAGGTCATTGGGAGGTATGAAACACTGTCAGGGCTCCCTCACTCACCAGCCCTCACCAGTGTGTCTGCCTTGTCTCCAGTCAGCTGGAGAACATAACTAGCTCAGAACAAAGCATTTATTGAAATAGCATAGTAACGAAATGTTGCCCTCACATACCCAGGGCACAGTCTCATACCCCATCAGTGGGAAGAGGGGATGTCCATTGGGGTTCACGAGCAGAGAGTTTCCTTTCCACATAAGGAAACTATGTGGCCAAGGCACATTCTCGGAGTGGCAGCTCACACTTCTGCTGCTGGACTGTTAATGTCGCTGATCACACGGCCTCCTCTGACCTTGTTCTTACACTTTCCACCAGGTAACACTTGACAGCTTGGCTGCAATCACCACAGCCTCCAGCTTTTGGCTCTGCTAAAACCCTGGCACAGGGACTGCTATGACCTTTTTCCAGAAGGAGTCTAAGTCTTTACCCGGGGACCAGCAGGAGCATCTCTCTCGTGCTCCCTGGGGCACAGTGTCTCTTGAGTATCAGGGCACTGGCCCCGGGCTCTCTTTCCTCTGGACAACTACCAGTTCCCCAGCCAGATTCTGCTCCCCCAGAGGTTGCCATGTGCTTCTGCTGCAAGAAGCCATTGCCAGGAGAGGGAGGGAGGGGAAGGGAGGAGGGGGAAATCTCCTCTCCCCTCGGTACACTAAGAGGTGTCGGGAGGAAAAGGTGGGGAGCAAACTCTCAACAGCCGAGCCTTTCTTCCCGACTCTCAGTCTCCCCCTACTCTCCCAAGTCACTGAGTCGGCAGAGGAAAGACCTCTAGGCAGCTCCAGCACCTTTGCCAGACTCCACCTTTTCTCCTGACACTTACATAAGCTCATGACCCACTCACGGTCTCAAATGGGTGGACCCTCAGATTTCTCTGTCTTTGTTAGCTGCCCCACACACCCAGTTAGTTAGAGAAACTCTGCTGGTCAGGGGTCTTCCCATAAACCCTCCCACTATACCTATTGGCCATGCAGGCCTATTCGCTCGGGGCAGCCAGGTGGTACAGCAAATGAAGCGCCAGGCCTGAAGTCAGGAAGACTTATCTTCCCGAGTTCAAATCCAGCCCTAGAGAGTTCCTAGCTGTGTGACCCTGGGCAAGTCACTTCACCCTGTTTGCCTCAGAGTAGGAGACAAAGGGCCACAGTCCAGGGATTGTCTCCTTCCCTTCCCCACCTGGAGATGGTGTTGGCAGTTCTTGAAGGCTTCGTAGAGCACGGCGGTGTGAGAGCAGGCGTAGAGCACTATCCTCTGGTTTTCATCCTGCATGTTGTAAATGGGGAGGGAGCTGTTCCATCCGTAGCACCAGGCCAGGTTCTGTAGGGGAAAAGGAGGCCCTGAGCACCTCACCACGACCCGGGTTCTGCCACCGCCCTGCCCCGACCCAGACACCAACTTCTTGACCCCTTTCTGGGGGTGGGCGCAGAGACGCCTGTAGATCAGAAGACCTCAGAGATGCAGAGGAGCTGGGGGGCCCCCAGCCCAGTCACTCAAGCCCACACTCTGGCTCGCGGGTGCAGGGAAGAAAGACAGCAAGAATGAGTGATGTGGAGACAGGGCGTTAAAGCACGCTGGGCACTTCAGACGTTATCTCATGGGAGTCTCGCTACAACCTGGGGAAGCAGTAAACGTAGGTATATTACCAGAAGTTTACTGATGAGGAAAGAACCCTTGATCACAAAGCTAGTACGCAGTGAGACAGGATTCAAACCCAGATCTTTCTGGTGCCTATTCCAACCCTCTGCTTACTAGAAGTCATCATGTAAGACAAACACTTTGCTAGAACAAGCCTGGAGTTGTGCTAGTAAATCCTCTGTTGAGAGAGCTCAGTGGCAGAAAAACTTCAAACCAGAAGTCGAAATAGAAAACAAAGAGAAATAACATTAGTAAAAAATTTTAGCCAGCACTAACTTGCTTCAGGAAAGTACTACAGGTATGGGAAAATACAAAGTAATCTCTCATGATAAAGTGACTAATTTTACAATAAAAAGTACAGTTGGACCTTATTAAATACACAGACATCACTGAAAATTGGAGTTTGAATCAAGTGCTTTACAAAGACTCAAAGTATGTCTTTAAAGAAAAAGTGTTTTGTGCTGTAAGATAGAAATTCAGAGAAACATGGAAGACTTACATGAACTGATACAGAGCAAACAAAGCAGAACCATGAGAATAATGTACTCAAAGATCACAATAATATAAATGGAAAAAAAAAAAACAACCTCTAAAAAAGTCAGAATCCGGATTGTAGACAAGCACCAGCCTTGGTTCCTGAGGAATGGAGACCCAGGCCCCCGCCCTAATCTTGGTAAAAGGCGGTAGACCACACACACAAGCAGAACATTACAGACTCCATCAGATGAGGCTATTTAGGCGGTTTGACTTCTGTTTTTTACAAACGAGGGCTCTATTGGTGAGGAAAGAATGAAGAAGTGACAGTGGTATAAAAAACCAAAATGAATCCAGAAATGTTGAAAAGAAGACATAGTATGCTTAATATTTTGAAGTCCGTTTGTCCATCGTTTATGTTGTCATAAAGAGTAGGGGTGTTCACTGGGGAAGGTAGTAGCATCTCCTGAGGGCCCTTGTCTTCACAAACGCTTTGGGAGAGGAGAGGGGAACCCCACCGTATTCTCTCAAGGCTAAGGACTTTGTGTAACCAATAAACAAATTTTCTTACATTTCAATCAGTTGTCTGCCTATGACAACGAGGTCACCTGTAGAAAATCATCTGCAAAACTCACCTCTTCCCCTTGCATGTTTCCATCAGAGGGAGCCTGGAACTCATCTCCAAGATTTTAGAGGAGAAAGTAGAATATTTACTTTTAGGTGTATGGACTGTTTCTTCTCAATAAAATGTACATTTCCTAATGGCAATGATAGTTTCATTCTGGTCTTTCTATCTCCAGAGCTCAGTATAGTGCCTGGTACAGTATAAGCACTTAATAAATGCTTGCTTGCTTGCTGTTTAATCAATCTATTAATCAATCAATCACCTACTATGAGCCAGGCACTGTGCTAAGAGCTGGGGATACAAAAAAGCGGCAAAAGACAGGCCCTGCCCACAATTATGTTTTAATGGGGGAGACAACATGCAAACAAATATATACAAAGCAAGCTATAGGCAGGATAAATAGGAAATAATTAACAGAAGGAAGGCACCAGAATTAAGAAGGTCTAGGGAAAGCTTTCTGTAGAAGGTGGGATTTTAGTTGGGACTTGAAGGAAGCCAGGAGGTCAGAAATGGAGAAGAGGAGGGAGGGCTTTCCAGGGATGGGAGACAGCCAGAGAAAAAGCTGGCAGCCAAGAGATGGAGGGTCTTGTTTGTGGAACAGCCACGAGACCAGCGTCAGGGAGTGTCAGAGAGTAAGGCATAAGAAGCCTGGAAAGGTAGGAGGGGGGCAGGTTCTGAAGGGAACTGTGTTTTAGGAAGATCGATTGAGCAGATAAATCGAGGGGAGACTGAAGTGGGAAGAGACGAGGTAGGCAGACCCACCAGCAGCTCCTGCAGGAATCTGGGTAATGAGGGGCATGCACCAGGTGGGTGTCAGAGGAGAGAAGGGGTGTATTCAGGAGATGTTTCAGAGGAGAAACAGACGGGTCTTGGCAACAGCTTGGATGTGGGGGGCAAGAGCTAGCGAGGAGTCCAGGATGACATCTACACTGTGAGCCTGAGGGCCTGAGAGGATGGTGCTGCCCTCTACCACAACAGGGAAGGTGTGGGGAGTGTTTAGGGGGAAAGACAATGAGTTTAGTCTTGGACATTTAAGATGTCTGCAGGGCATCCAATTGAAGATGTCTGAAAAGCAATTGGAGATGCAAGATTGGAGGTCAACAGAGAAGTTGGAACAGGATAGGCAGATTTGAGAATCATCAGCAAAGAGATGGTAATCAAAACCATGGGAGCTGATGAGCTCACCAAGTGAACTCAGGTAGAGGGAGCAGAGAAGAGGGTGCAGGACAGAACCCTGTTCTATAAGGAATTATGAATAGGAAGATTTTAAAGAAATATAGAGAGACACACAAAATGATACAGAGTGAATGGTGCAGAAGCAAAAGAATATATAAAATCACTGAACTATGTAAATGAACGCACCTTTTTAAACACAGTAACAAAATTCAGACAAAAATTATAATTTTCCATTTGTTAAAAGAAAGAATGGTTATATGCTTTACAAGTTGGTACCAAAACTGTATGATGTTTTTATCTGAGTTTTTGTTTTTCAAGATTTTAAAGAAATATAGAAAAACTAGAAACTTTTTTTTTTCTAGATTTACTTAACTATTTTGTTTTGTTTTTTTCACAGACCACATATTGTGCAGGATTCAACTGGAAATAAGATGTGTTAGGAGCAGCTAGGTGGCGCAGTGGATAGAACTCCACCCTTGGAGTCAGGAGGACCTGAGTTCAAAACTGCCCTCAGACACTTGACACTTACTGGCTGTGTGACCCTGGGCAAGTCACTTAGCCCCGATTGCCTCACTAAAAAAAAAAAAAAAAAAAGAAAGAAAGAAATAAGATGTGTCAAAACAAGTTGAATAAAAGAAATTTAATTAAAAAAATAAAGAAAGTAGAGACATGCTGAAAAAGAAAAAAACCAAAACCAACTGCTGCCCAAGGTAGAGCCATACTCCTTATTAAGGACTACTGGTTTACTGGGCAGCTAAGTGGTACAGTGGATAGAGTTCCTTTTTCTCAGACCTCCCACTACACTGATAATTGGTATTAGATAATTCAGCACTTAAATACAGACTGTCTTGTATTGTTGTTCCAATTGTTTCATGGAAGTTACACCTGTTCCCTCCACTAGGATATAAATTCTGTGGGGGGAGGGACGGGGATGGTGACTTCTAATTTTTTACAGGTCTCACAATGGCCAGCCCTGGGCTAGATACATAAATCAGTGCTCCACAAAATACTTGTTTAAGGAGTCACTGACTATATTCAGTATAGAACCAACTCACTGAATTTTTACTAATGTTTGACAAATTGCCTTTCCCAGGTGTGAATGTTACTATTCAGAGATTAAATAAGGCTAACTCACAGCACATCTCATTTTTAAAAAACATCTTTTCATTTGAGATCTGCTCTGTGACCCCCACAGAAGCCTTTACATGTAGAGAGACTCATTTCTCTCTCCTCCGAGCTTAGCTCCGGGTTCCATCTGCTTATTTCCTATCCTTTCCATTCAGACCTTCTCTGGCGTAGGTGTGAGTGGCAGACTCATAGGATCATAATTGTCTCAAGCGGCAACTTCCAGGAACAGAATCATCTAACATCTGATTTCCCTTTTGAAAACCCTTTGCTTCATATCTTAAAATCTGACTGTTCTTTTAGGAACTTGCTAATCTTTTACAGAATTTTTAAAGCTTAAAACTTCAGATTTATGCTGGCTTCTGGAAAACTGGCTGTGCCAACGTCAAAGCTCCCTAAACAGTTGGCTGCCAACAGTTATCCACACTTGCTGTTGCAAATTCAAAGTCAAGGTGAAGCGACACGTCATGTAGCTATGACAAAAGCTGCTAATTCAAATTGTGTGCCTTTCACTGACATCCAACAGTTTAGTTTATATCCTAATAACCCTCATCTATTGTGGTCTAACACAGGGGTGGGGAACCTGCGGCCTTGAGGCCACATGCAGTCTTCTAGATCCTTAAGTGTGGCCTTCTGACTGAATCCAAAGTTGAGGATCTAGAAGGCTGCATGTGGCCTCAAGGTTGCAGGGTCCCCACTCCGGTCTAACATTTGCTGCAAATACAGGAGATGTGTGCATTTCTTCCACCAACATTTCTCAACTCCAGACATGGAATCTGTAAAAATATATTTCTTGTTGAAAACAGTATTTTTTCAGCCAAATCCATAATAAAAACAGATTTTATTATATTTGACCCTCATAAGACTCCTCGTCACCCATTTGGAATTTCCTTTTTTGTTTCTATTATTGAAATGGAAACCACCGTCACATCAAATAGCTATGGGAATCATGAGTTTATGTCTTATATAAGAAGTGACGGTTACATTCTTTGGGAATGTGGCATAGCAGTCCAAAGGATAAAAATAAAAATGTTGAGACTGGAGAGAGCTTAAGGCAACTTGGCAAATGGGACACTGGAAGTTTTTAGCTATCCTAGGAAACCAAGAGTCCGGGCCACCTGGTGGATGACTGGTGAAATTACCAGCACGCCCCTTAGAAAGACTACATGCAATCCTATCGGTGACACGAGACCACTTCTTACTGGCCCAGGATGAACACAGACAGAAAGAAGGCCCCTGGGGGCACCAAAACCCAACGATCCACCCTTTTCATCAGACTAATAACAAATCAGCCAAAACTTGAAGCTCCACTCCCCATACGGTTCTGCCGATGCTGCAGGAAGATCAAGGATGCCATTCTTTTAAGTTTTCAATGAGGGGTCTGTTAGTGGCATTGCACTGATGCTAAAACCTTCCAAAGTGTAGGAATCTCCGTAATGGTCTTCTACAGGTGAAACAGGCCCTGGTCCATAAAATAAACAATTTCATTTTTCGGGATTTTCAGATCTGTTAGCAGATGGAGAAAGGAAAAACCCCAACTCTGTTTCCTTCTCTGGGTGAATGAGAATATTTTTATTCCTAACAGATGGCTCCTCCTTGGAATATTTTCAGGCTTGGCACTGGCAGTTGCGTTTTGAAAAAGCTTGACGCATTTCAACAGTTTTCAGTATTGTTCGATTTTTTGCTTTCCATTAGACTAACTCCTTTCAAACCATAATAAGGGTAAAAGAAATGACAGAAAAAAGAAGGAAGAGGAAATGGATAGGAAGGAGGCCGCCAAATGCGAGAGAAGCGCCACAATTCACAAGGAACAGAAAATCAAAATCAAGAGCCCGTATAAAACAGTGTATGCGTGGAAAGGACAAACTCTGCTAGGAATTTCCTGTTCGTTGAAATTGTTGCAATATTGACACATTTCACAATCTGTCACACCATCCCCATGCCCAACACTTTAAATGGGCTTTAAAAATGGAAACAAAACAATATAATAAAGCATAATTTTAAAATTATTGCTCTGCTATGAAAACTTTGGCCTTAAAAACATGCTTATGACTCTTATAAAAGCGCTGAAAAATCTCCATTACTTACCAGCGGATAAATTTTTTCCTCCTCTGTCTTTTCTCTGAATAGACTATCCTCCGTGGTGCAGCACAACAATGATTCTTGTGATGGTGGTTCTTTGGAGGAAGAAGGGTTCTCTTCCTCATAAGGAATACTCCCACCCTCATAAATGCGGACTGAGGGTCTCCTTGCAGAGGATGGGTCCGCAGTGTCATTAGGACTCTGATGAGCTGACCCAGAAGCCTCTTGAAAATCCCATCCACTCAATTCTCCAAAAACTTTATCTACTTCATTTTTCTCTGTTTCTTCAGACGTTCCACTTAAAATTTCCTTTTTATCATTAAAAAAAAAGAAAAGAAATGGCAATTCAAAACATAATCCCCACTTTGAAAGGGGTAAATACCCTATTGTCTCCCGTACTATAATTCTATCCCCTTCACAACCACAGCCAGTGCCAATCAGATGATTTCTTTGACACTGTACCAATTGGGTCAAAACCGTTTAGCTGTTAAAAATGCAATGAGGATTTTGATCCCCAGCAGAGGATAGCTGGGCGGCACTCAGCCCATCTTGTGAGAGGGGGTACCCCAAGGCTTAGCCTATTGCCCACCGGTAGGAAGTATGAGATCGGCTAGTTACCGCCTCCCCAGCAAAAGAGGCCTTGAGTCAGTTGCCACAGAATTGAGGAAGCTCTCCTAACTGCAGCAAGTACCTGATTTCCTCCTTTACTTTGGCCCAGTGTTCTCTAGCCTTGGCTTAGAGCTTAAAATGCATTCACATATGATACTTCATAAACATTGGAAATTAACTCATTACTTTGCCCTTTTTAGGGGCAGTTGGGCAGCACAATGGATGGAGTGTGGAGCCTAGAGTCAGGAAGACCTGAGTTCAAATCCTGCCTCAGATACTTCCTAGCTGTGAGAACCTGGGTAAGTCACTTAACCTCTGTTTGCTTCAGTTTCCTCATCTGTAAGATGAGGATGATAATAATAGTACTTATTCTCCCCCCTCCCCCCCCCGTTATTCTGAGGATCAGGTGAGAAAACAATAATAATTGTAAAGCACTTAGCACAGTATCTGGCACATAGGAAGTGCTACATAAATGTTCGCTATGATTATTATTATTATTGACCTCACCCAGAATTCCAGGACATAATAGCCCATGCTTAATTTCCCATTAAAACTCTTATTTCCTTCACCTCTCTGCATAACTCATAAGGAAACAAACTCATTGTGAGGTCTACAAAAGCTTCATTTCAAAAACTACATCATTAAAAAGCCAGTAACTCTTAGCTGTATTGGCTAGGTAGTGCTGTGAATCTGACTCACAAAAGATTTAAATTAGCCCTCAGGCTATGGATTGGCTCACATTTTGTTGTTGTCTTATCTGACTCTTCAAGACCCCATTTGGGGTTTTCCTGGCAAAGATCCTGAAGTGGTTTGCCATTTCCTTCTCCAGTTCATTTTCCAGATGAGGAAACTGAGGCAAGCAGGGTGAAGTGGCTTGCCTAGGATCACACAGCTAGGAAGAACTGTAAAAAGGCCCCGTCCTAAGAGGCTTATCAGATGGACGTGGCTGTCAATAGAAGTGTAACAGCGCTTCCACAGGGAAAGAGAAGACGGCATGGGCAAATCAGCAAAGAGAGCGGCCCAGCTGATGACGCTGGTCATAATGTTTCCTTTGCCCACCGGTGGCATGAGAACCTGTTGGAGATTGAGCCCTGGATCCGTGGAAAGATTTTTCCTTTTTATTTACTTTGATATTCTGCTTAATTAAATATCTTTGTTTTGAGTTAATGTGTTCTCTGGTTTGGTGTGGTAAGAGGGGAACATAGGATGTCAGGCATTTACCGCCTGCCCTGCTGATGTACCCTGAGATGGCCAGGCCTTGCCCTCTGTCCCATAACTAGAGCCTCCCATGATACGTGATGTTTCCTGCTAAGACAATGTGAGCTTGTTGAGGGCAGGGAATGTCTCATTTACCATCACGCGTGGCACAGAGTAAGTCAGCACTTAGTAAGTGCCTTTCATACATTCATAAATAAGGCAGGGCCTCACAAGCTGCAGTTTTGAATAGATGCTTTTCAGATGGTTATAGACGTAGCAAGAAGGTACTTTCCCCTCCTCAGCCTTTCCAGGCCTAGCCCTGTGACCCCAGAGAAAGACACAACACAGGGAGAACGAGCTGTGCCTCCCTGCCTCCCTCTCTGCAATGACAGAAGTATGTGGAACGAGGCACACACAGTCCAACAGAGTTCATGCGTTGATTAATTTTTTCTCTTCTTTATTCTTTTTTATAAGAGATAGCTCTCTGGGTGGCAGATGAGAAGAATATAATGGAAATTGAAGGTGATGTAAAAACAAAAGACAGTGATAATTTAAAAAAAAAATAAAACCAAAAAAACAAAAAACTCACAAAGAGATGCTGGATAAGCAGGAAGCATCCCAGCTGGCCCTAGGAGATGGGCACAATTGGAATATTTGCCCTAAATCATCTAGGAGTTGAAAATGGAGCAGGGCAGCCCTGGGTGTGGTGGGATATGCCTGTCATCGCTCCCTGCTCCTGACAGTCTCAGGTTAGCTGAACCTGGAAGTTCTGAGCAGCAGTAAATCTTCCAACAACATGGCGGCCTTCCCTCGAGATCAGGGACCACCAGTCTGCCTAAGGAGGGGTGAGCCAGCCCAGGTTAGAAACCGAGCAGGTCAGAGCATCAGTGCTGAGCAGCAGAGGTGCAGCTCCTGAGTGGCCACTCTGCTTCCAGCCTGGGCAAGGCAGGGAGAGACCCAGTGTCAAACAAAGAGGGAAAGAAGAAAATTCAAACTGCAAGGAAACAATGGCTTCTGATATGTCCTAAGAGGCTCTTGATAGGAGGGGACGACGGGACCCAGAGACATTCTCTGACCTCCTCCTCATCCCCTCCCCTGGCTCAGCCACTGACGCCCTGCTGGGACATCTCTGAGGGAGCAGCCGGGGGCGGGCCAGGAGGTAAAGGACAGGAGGCAGAGCCCCAGGGGACCGGGGGACCATCCCAAGGAGCCCGTCCTGGTCTCCATTTTCTCACCTGTCCTGGTCTGAGCTACACCCACAATGAGGTGCCGAGTCACAGGAAAGGAGGAAGATGCTAACTAGTGGGGAAGGAGACGATGTCAACTCTCTACAGAATCAGGCCTGAGTCCTTTCCGTGTTCTTGAGTTTATGAAGGAAAACTGTTCTCTGGGCTTGAATGCTGGGAAGGGCACTGAAGGCCACCCTCTGGGGGATGCCATACGCTAACATCTGCAGGTGTCACCTACGTGAGAACAGACAAATCAGAGATGTGATGGGTCCCCAGAGCGACCAAGTCTGACACCATGTGGGTCACGATCACAACTTAACATGAACTGTGATCTACGCAAACAAGTGCTATAGGGGTGCAGATCTGGAAGAGTTTACTTGCAGGTGGGGAATTGGGGAAGACTTCATGGAGGAGGAGTACTGCTTGGCAGTGACACAGAGCAGGGTCTGAGCCAAGCCCAGGGAGGCAGGTTAGGTTTCAAAAGCCAGAAAGGGGTGGGCAGGGTGGCAAGTTCAGCCCAGGAAAGGACATGAGCAAAGGCAGAGCCACAGGAAAGGCCAGGGCGTTTGGGAGGGAATGGGAAGAAGGACAATTTGGCTGAAGAACAGGGATACTGGACTGGGAAGGGAAGGCGGTGGCAAACCAAGGAGAACCCGAACTCCTACTCTGCACTGGCATTTGGTTCCTTAGACAACAGGGAGCAACTGAAGGTCTTGGGGAGCAGAGCGAAGTGAACAGAGCTGGGCTTTGGGAAGAGTCCCCTGACCAAGATTTATAAAAATGGTCAGATTTTGCCCAACTGTATGCCAATGAGTTTGATGATCTTAGTGAAATGGATGAATATTTACAAAAAATTACCCAGATTAACAGAAAAGGAAATAAAATACTTAACCCCATTTCAGAAAAGGAAATTGAACAAGCCTTTAATGAACTCCCTAGGAAAAAATCTCCAGGGCCAGATGGATTTACAAGCAAATTCTATCAAACATTTAAAGAACAATTAATTCCAATGCTATATAAACTATTTGGGAAAATAGATGAAGAAGGAGTCCTACCAAATTCTTTTTATGATACAAATACGGTACTGATACCTAAACTGAGAAGAGTCAAAACAGAGAAAGAAAATTATAGACCAATTTCCCTAATGAATATAGATGCAAGTTTAAATAAAACATTAGCAAAGAGATTACAGCAACTTATCTAGATGATAATATACTAGGACCAGGTAGGATTTATACCAGAAATGCAGGGCTGGTTCAATATTTGGAAAACTGTCAGCATAATTGACCATATCAACAACAAAACTAACAGAAATCATATGATTATCTCAATAGATGCAGAAAAAGCTTTTGACAAAATACAACACCCATTCCTATTAAAAACACTAGAGAGCACAAGAATAAATGGAGCCTTCCTTAAAATGGTAAGTAGCATCTACCAATAACCATCAGTAAACATTATATGTAATGGGGATAAGGTAGAAGGATTTCCAGTAAGATCAGGGGTGAAACAAGGATGTCCATTATCACCACTTGTTCAATATGGTACTAAAAACGTTAGCTTTAGCAATAAGAGAAGAAAACAAAATTGCAGGAATTAGAACAGGCAAAGAAGAAACAAAGCTATCACTCTCTGCAGATGATATAGTGATATACTTAGAGATTCCTAGAGAATCAAGTAAAAAACTACTTGAAATAATAACCAACTTTAACAAAGTTGCAGGACATAAAATAAACCCACATAAATCATTGGCATTTCTATATATTACTAACAAAGCCCAACAGCAAGAGACAGAAAGAGAAATTTCATTTAAAGTTACTGCAGACATTATGAAATATTTGGGAATCTACCTGCCAAAACAAACTCAGGAACTATATGAACACAATTACAAAACATTTTTCGTACAAATAAAGTCAGATCTAAATAATTGGAAAACATTAGTTGCTCATGGGTAGGCTGAGCTAATATAATAAAAATGACAATTCTACCAAAATTTACTTATTCAGTGCCATACCAATCAAACTACCAAAAAATTATTTTATAGAGCTACAAAAAATAATAACAAAATTCATCTGGAAGAACAAAAGGTCCAGAATATCAAGGCAATTAATGAAAAGAAACGCTAAGGAAGGTGACCTAGCCATACCAGATCTTAAATTGTATTATAAAGCAGCAATCATCAAAACTACTTGGTAGTGGCTAAGAAATAGAGTAGCGGATCAGTGAAATAGGTTAGGTACACATGACACGGCAATAAATGACTATAGTAACCTGCTGTTTGATAAAACCAAAGACCCCAGCTTCTGGGATAAGAACTTACTATTTGACAAAAACTGCTGGGAAAACTGAAAAATAGTATGGCAGAAACTAGGCATAGATCAACACCATATACCAAAATAAAGTCAAAATGAGTACACAATTTAGATATAAAGGTTAATACTATAAGCAAACCGGGAGAGCAAGGAATAGTTTACTTATCAGATCTATGGAGAATGGAAGGATTTATGACCAAACAAGAGATAGAGAACATTATGAAATGCAAAATGGATAATTCTGACTACATTAAATTGAAAAGTTTTTGCACAAAGTCAATGCAACCAAGATTACGAGGGAAGCAGAAAACAGGGAAAGAATTTTTGCAACCTGTGTCTGATAAAGGCCTCATTTCTAAAATATATAGAGAACTGAGTCAAAATTAGAAAAAAAGAATGCAAGTCATTTCTCTATTGATAAATGGTCAAAAGGACACAAACAGGCAGTTTTCAGATAAAGAAATTAAAGCTATCTACAGTCATATGAAAAAATGCTCTAAATTATGAGAGAAATGCAAATGATGAAAAATGCAAATCAAAACAACTCTGAGGTACCACATCATACCTATCAGATTGGCTAACATGACAAAACAGGAAAATGATAAATGTCGGAGAAGATGTGGGAAAATTGGAACACCAATGCATTGTTGGGGGAGTTATGAAATGATAACAACCATTTTGGAGAGCCATTTGGAACTATACACAAAGGGCTATAAAAATGTGCATACCCTTTGACCCAGCAATAGCACTTCTAGGGTTGTATTTCAAAGAGATCATAAAAATGGGAAAAGGACCCACATGTACAAAAATATTTATAGCAGCTCTTTCTGTGGTGGCAAAGAATTAGAAATTGAAGGGCTGCCATCAATTGGGGAATGGCTGAACAAGTTGTAGCATATGAATGTAATGGAATACTATTGTGCTATAAGAAATGATGAGCAGGCTGACTTCCGAAAAACCTGGACAGACTTGTATGGACTGATGCTGAGTGAAGTGAGCAGAACCAGGAGAACCTTGTACACAGTAACAGCCACATTGTGCGATGACTAACTTTGATAGATGTATCTCTTCTTAGCAATATAAGGATCTAAGACAATTCCAAAGGACTCATGATGGAAAATGCTGTCCACATCCAGAAAAAGAGCTATGGAGTCTGAATGTAGATCAAAGCACACTATTTGCTCTCTCTCTCTTTTTTTGTTTTTTCTTTCTTGTGGTTTTTACCATTGGTTCTAATTCTTCTTTACAACATGACTAATCTGAAAATAGGTTTACTATGAATGTATATGTACAGCCTATATCAAATTGCACGCTGTCTTGAGATGGGGAGAGGGGGAGAGATGGGGAGAAAATGTGGAACTCAAAATCTTATGGAAGTGAATGTTGAAAACTAAAAACAAACAAACAAACAAATACAAAGAAGGGTCAGGAGGAGAGAGAGCAGAGGTGCCTGCCCAGAACTCTTCCTCCATGTCACCCCTGAGTCCCGTGATTAATGGTAAGGACGCTCAGGTCCCTGGGAGAGATGCTTGTGCTGTCAATGCTGGGGCAGAAAACCAGCCAGCACAGCACGGCCCTCTGCTCCTACTCACTAGGGAACCGCGCTGGGAGCTGGTAGTCAGGGCCTCCAAGTACATGTGCTCATTCTCCTCCGAGGCGAAGGGCATCTGCGCGTTCAGGGCCTGGCTGGCACGGTCCGCTATGCTCCTCATCGACTCTTCTGGGGCTTCTCCTGAAGTGCCCCCAGGCCCTTCTGTGTCATCCGGCACCTGCACTGTTGTCTCCACGTTTCCTTTGCCTGCCGATGCCTGGCCACCCTCAGAGATGCTTTCCGTAGGACCTCCTACGCTTTCTTCCAGCGGCTTTTCTTCACTACTCGACATGCTCCCCAACTGGAGTTTCCTTTAAAAAAGATCACATCGTCATCAGAAGCGGCATGGGCTACTCTTCACCTGCGGTCTAAGGAACAGAACACAAGAGCTCTTTTTCCCGGGGAACAGCGGCCACAGAACGAGCTGGCGTCCTTCCAGGGAGGAGCCTGTCCTGAGGCCCCCAATGAGTGGTCTCAGAGCCTCCCTCTGTGGATTTCAGAGTAAATCAGGAAGGAGCTCGGGGGCCCTTGTCGAGGCCTGGCGCAGAACTACATAAAAGATCCTTATGCTGGGACAGTGGTCTGAATGAGCCGACTGCAAAGTAGACCTTCCGAGAGGAAAGCTGGGTGAAAGAGAGGCTGGTAAAGGTGCGGCCCTGGGGTAAGAAGATCTAGAAAGCCCTGAACAGCAGATAGCTCTCCAAGTTCATCATCTATTTCCAAAAGGAAATGAGCATCTCCTAGCAGAAGACCACCTCCCTGGAGTCAGGGCCTGTCCCTTTGTGCCCAGTGGCCGGGTTATCCCCGGTGCTTAATGAAGGGGATCCTCCCTGGGAATTTCAGAGCCCAGAAGGCTGGAGGTGTGTGGGGGAGGAGTATGTTAAGGCCCTGGGTATGGGGCCAGGTCTCCCCCTTCCTCTCTTTCCTTCCCTGGGCAGGGCACAATAGAAGTTTAGCAGTTAGGGGAGGTACCTAAAGAATCATAGGAATGGAACAGAATTCAAGTTTGTGCGCAAAGGCACTGTGGCAGAGGATAAAGACAAATAAACAAACAACCACACAGTACCTTCTCTCAAGGAGCTTACATTCCATGGGGGAGAAAAAACAAGCACCTCCTTAAGCAAATGCAAAATAGATCCAAAGTAATTGCTTGGGGATGGACGGTGGGCTCCAGCTCCCAGGGGTGATCCTAGGATCCTAGGGAGGTTGCACTTGGGCTGAGCCTTGAAAGGAGAAAGGTCCTAAGAGGCAAAGGTGAGAAGGGAGGGCATTCCAGGCATGGGGGACAGCCTAGGCAAAGGCTCAAAGGTGGGAAGAGCAAAGGGGTCACTCTGGCTGGAACAAAGGGAGTTTGAGAGGGAAGTTCACGTGAATTTAGTCTGAAAAGACAGTCTGGAGCCAAATGGTGACGGAAAGGGCTCTCAATGGCAGAGTAGAGGCAAGAAGAGGCCCCTGGGAGTTCTTGCAGGGGTGACATGGTCAGATCTATGCTTGAGGAATATCAAAATGGCAGCTGAGTGGAGGACAGATTGTACAGAAGAGAGAGCTGAGGTAGGGAAACTGCTTAGGAGATTACTGCAGTAACCAAGGCAGAGAAGCTATGGGAAAAAAAGACAAATACCTCATTTGATCCTTGAAACAACCCTGTGAGGTAATATTATTATCTCCATTTTAGAGCTGAGGAGACCCACTTAGACAAAGATGAAGTGACTTGCCCAGGGTCTCACAGCTAGAAAGTGTCTGCGGCCAGATTTGAATTCAAGTCTTCCTGACTTTTTCTGTTTCACCACCCACGGGAGAAGAAAGGGATGAGGTTGTACGTGGAGCTTCAGAGATGAATGAGGAAGGAGTGTGAGAAAGATGGAAAGTTTCGTGTCTCCTACTGGGAAGTAAATCAAAGCAGGCTCTTGTTGAAGGAGTGGACAGTCTCAGGGCAAAGCATTTCGCCTTTGCTAAATGAGGAGCTTGGGCTAGGAGATATTCTAATATCCTTTCATCTCAAACATTATTTGACCTTATAACTTACAAAACACAGAGAGTGAGAGAGAGAGAGAGAGAGAACTGGATTTCTCATCAGATGACCTGGTACTCAAATCTCAGCTTTGCCATATATCATATATGCATATAGGCGCATATATATATATATATATATATATATATATATATATATATGAATGATACATCATCTTAGGCAAGACAGGAACTCCATCTGGGCCTCAGTTCCCTAGTCTGTAAAACGAGGTGCTAGATGGTCTCTAAGGCCCCTTCCAGCTTTAAGTCTGTGATGCCTGCAAAGACACAAACATCCCCTTCAGCCCATTCACAAACCTTCCCACAGACACACAATCCCCACAGACCATCACACAAAAGACACACATGCCCTAACAACTTCCATAGATCTGCAAAACACAACGCTCACAAAGCTATGCCCCACCCAAACATTGTCAACTGCTGCAAACTTCCTACCTACATAAACACACACACAGACACACACAGACACAGACACACACACACACACACACACACACACACACACAAAACACCTATGCTCCCACGGCAGCACAGAGTTGGTGGAGACCATTTGGTCCTACCCAAGCTTGAACAAGAATCCCCTCTAGGGCACATCTGACAAGTGGCCAGCCACCTTTTGCTCAAAGAGCTCAGTTTGACAAAGAGAACCTACTACCTTCCGAGGTAGCCCATTTGGCTTTTTCACAACTCATATAACTGTTAGGAAGTTTTTGTTGTTGTTCAGTCGTTTTTTAGTCAAGGCCCTCTGTGACCCCATTTGGGGTTTTCGTGGCAGAGATACTGGAGTGGTTTGCCATTTCCTTCTCCAGCTCATTTTACAGATGAGGAAACTGAGGCAAACAGGGTGAAGCAACTTGCCCAGGGTCACCCAGCCAGTAAATGTTTGAGGCCACATTTGAACTCAGGAAGATGAGTCTTCCTGACTCCAGGCCTGGTGCTCTGTGCCTGAGGAAGTTTTTATCTGCACCCTAATTTTCCTTCTTTGCATTTTCTACCCATTGCTCCAAGATCTAGCCTATGGGACCAGCTAGAACATATCCCTTTGTTCTTTCATGGCACAGCCCTCTACCCAGAAACAATGATGTCCCCCTAAGCCCTCTCTTCTCCAAGCTAAACAACTTAGCTCCTTTAACCAATGCTCACACGCCACGGACTTGAAGCCCTTCCCCCTCCTGGCTGGACCCCTTTGGCAGCTGTCTTCAGTTACTGACGTCCTTCCCAAAACAAGGTCCAGATGCCCACCCCTCCTCCTGTAGGCCTCCTCCATTAGCACGGACTGTCCACGTTGGTAGAGGCCTCCATTAAACCCCAAAGCTCCTGCCCCAGCACCCTCTACTCCCTTCTGGTCTTCCATCATTGGTCTGGAAGCACAGAGTTCTTACACCAGACCCTTCAAGGAACAGAATTGGGAAGCCTCCTGCCATGTACAGAAGTACTATCCTGCCATGGACTCATCTGGGAATTTGCCTCAGCCCTCCATAACCACAAAGCACCAGGGGGTGCTAGGGACCAGGTTCGTGTCTAGAATCAGAGGCTCAGACAGCAGGCCTTAGAAGGCATTGCCAGGAACTTGTCGAGGGCTGGGGCCTTGGGCACTATGTCTGATCGGGCCAAGGCAACCCTGGCTGAGTAAGCCCCATCCTCCCAGCCTCTCGGTATGAGACAAAGGAACCCTCAAAGAGCGTGAGTTCAGTCAGGCCCTGGCAACCCAATTACCAAGTATCTATCATCTGGCTGATCTCCATGTTGGCCTAAACCCTTCCCTGCTGTCTAAGAGATAACAAACAGGGGTCTCAGAGGATCCTTGTAGGGGGGAGCTTGAATCAACTCGGGCTTCCCCTGGACAATTATCAAGTGAGATAAAGCACTCTGCAAACCTTAAAGTCTCTGTAAGCGCTAGCTAACTGGCTACTGATAAGTGGCAAACTCTCCTAAGGCCTGTGATTCAGTCCTTTGCTAGCTGAAAACCCCCTTCCCCTGCTCCCTTCTCAGCTCTCATTCTCATCCACCTGCTGAGTCCCTGGCTGGCTCTGCTCTCCCCTCTCCCAGGACACCCTCCCTCTCCAACTTGGATTTATGGACCTCAAACTAAGCCTCCTTCTAGTTTTTCTGTATATACTGATACTTGTCCTTGTCTCTCCATCTGAATGTAAGCTCCTCGTGAGCAGGAATTGTCTCTGGGCTTGTCTTTTATAGCCCCAGCTCCTAGCCCAGTTCCTGGTACACAGGGAATGCTTAATAAATGCTTGTTGATTGACTGAACAAACTTCCCTTGGTTCTAGACCTGTTTTTCTTCCCCAAATTGTTTCATCTTCTGCTCACAGAGACCCAGCTCCCTCTGAAGACCTAACATCCCAGGCCACCCTTCTCCACACCAGGTGCACCCTGGGCCAGGAGGAAGACAAGGGGCATCACCCTTGCTCAGTGGCATCCCTTCCAAACCGCCCTCCCTCTATGGACACGCAGCCCTGCCTACATCCTTGTCAGGCACCTGTGGGCCTCCAAGAAACGTGCTTGCCTTCTTCCTGCAGAAGCCCCTCAAACAGCGCCGTCAGCCCCCACGACTCCCACCTCCGTGCCCCCTCAGACATCCACACAGGCGCTCACAGCATCACTCCCACCATCACCCGTCACTCTGAAATTCCTCTCTGACCATAACCTCTTGTCCCTCCATCTCATTCTTTGGCCTCCACTCAGTCTCTAATCTCTTCAACCTTCTCCGATCTCTCAGTCCATTCTATTGAAATTCAACAAGAATGTATCAGTCACTTACAGTGTTCAGGGAATTATACCAGGCTCCTGAGCCTACAAAAAGAAAGTCAAACAGATACGCCACTGGGGGGAAACAACACAGGCACAGATAGACAGACAGATGAATAGATAGACAGACAGACAGACAGACAGATAGATAACCACACAAAGAAATAAATACAAAGTCATTTGGGGTGGGAAGAAAACTAACAAGTGGGGCGATCAGACGGGAAGACCTGATATAGAAAGAAGCACTTGAAATGAGCCTTGGGGGTAGCTTGAAATTCTGAGAGGGAGTATTCAAATATGATCCAGGGAGACTCAATAGTCTGGGCTGAACTAGCGAGGTGGCTGTGTAACTAGAGACGAGTAGACAGATGAGAGAAATGGTGTGATAGCTAAATAGCTAACACACACACACACACACACACACACACACACACAACCCCGCTGCCACACACCCCAACACACACATTCACCTCCCGCACAGCCCCAGTTCCCAGACACACACACACACCCCACAGGCAGACCCGCAACTTTCTATCTTGACTTCACTCCACAAGCACAGCACACTGACCCATGCGTCTCCCACGGACCTCAGGCACCACCCACCCATCCACCCACCCACCCACACACACACACACACCACGTGGACAGAGCTCTACAGACTTGGAGTCCGAGTTTGCCCCTGACGCTCGCCTGCTGAGTGACCTCAGTCAAGCTGCTTCCCCTCCCTGGGCCTCAGTTTCCCCATCTGTAAAGTGAGAGCTTGGGACTCCACGGCCTCTGAGAACGCCTCCCAAGCTCCAGTCCAGGACCCCGTGACCCTCCCCCCCGCCCCCGGCACAGCACACACACTCGCCCCTCCCCCCCTCCCGGATCCCCCACAAGGCCCCTCCGGCGCCCTCACCTCCTCGCCGCCGCCGCCTCCTCCTCCTCCTCCTCCTCCTCCGGCTCCTTGGTTACCGTTTACAACCCAGTCGCGTCTCCATGGGAACTACTGCCGCCGCCGCCTCGAACGGCAGGCCGTAAAGCGAGCGAGCACGTGGGGGAGGGGGAGCCGAGTGGCCCACGTGCTTCCGGGGGCTAACGGGAGCGCGCGCGGGACTGCGGCCGGCGGAGGCCGCTCCGGAGGCACCGGGCGCGTTCGCGACGTCTTTCATCTTCCCTCCTCGAGTCCTCGAACTGCCCCGATCTCGTCCGGTTTTCAGTCTCCCACCTCCGGGCTTTTGCCTTTGTCCAAGCAGGCCCCCGTGGCCAGCCTGCAGGCCCTCGTTTCCTCTGTTTAAAACTCCTCTTTGCAGACCGCGCAAGGCTTCCCCCTCCTGGAAGCCTGACTCCCTCCTCGTTTTCCGACGGCATTTTCGTCCTTGTGTCATTACTAACGCGCAGGCGCGATCTTGTCCCCCCCCCCCCCCGTAAGCAGCGGTGGCTCCCTGTCGCCTCCGGGATCAAACACAAAGTGCTCCGCTCGGCATTCAAAGCCTTTCATTAAACACACACACTCTCTCAGGTCCGGCGACCCTGGCCTCCCGGCGGTCATCTCGGGGCTCCAGGCACTCCCTCTGACTGTCCCCCGCGCTCTCCCCTCTCCCCTCCCAACTGAGGTCCCACCTTCTACAGGCGGCCTCACCCAGCCTCTCTCCATTCCGGCGCCTTCCCTCTTTATCCGGCTGGCCATGTCCTCCTGTGAGGAAACTGCAGCTAGGAGGTGTCAGAGGCAGCATTGGAACTCAGATCTTCCGACTGCGGGCGCCCCCTAGCCGTCCCTGCTAGCAGTGTACACATTTGTTTGCTGTTAGCTCCCCTATCAGAGTGTAAGCTGCAGAAGAGCAGGAACTGGCTTTTGCCTTTTTTCCATCCCCAGCTCTTAGCACAGCGCCTGGCGCATGACTGACAGCTGCATATGTGTGCCCTTCCCCTCTGTTAGACGAAGTTCCTCAGTACAGTTTTTGGCATACAGTAGGTGCTTACTAAACATTAATTGATTGAATGAACAGATTGCTTCACCTTTATCTTGGAATCCCCAGTACCAGGGCCTGCCTAGCACTAATAAAAGTTTGATTGATGGTTGGTTTTTTGAATACAACCACCCACCCCAGTGGGGCCAGCCCCACTCCAGCGCCCCCCCCCCCCCCCGTATAGGGGGGTCCTACCTGGCCTCTGAGTAAAACTACCCACCGTCCAAATTTGTCGCCTCATAGCTTCTCAGGGGTTGACAAATGACAGTCAGGTATGGATGAATGTTGTTTTTTCATTTAAAAATTTTTTTATTGTATTTTAAAATGTAAAAAATCACTCTTAGCTGGGGGCAGTAAAAAGACAGGCAGATTTGGGTCTTGGTTGTAGTTTGCCCAGCTGACAAGCATTTATTAAGCACCTACTACTATGTGCCAGGCACCGTGCTAAATCCTGGGGATACGAAGGAGCTAGCTAGGGGGTACGAGCTGTGGGGGGCTGGGGAGAAAAGATGACCAATTCAGGTTGGACATACTGAGTTGAAGATGTCTGTGAGACATCCAGTTTGAGATGGTCAGTAGGCAGCTGGAGATGTGAGTCTGGGGGGTAGAGGTCAGGGCTAGATAAGAACTGGGAGTCCTCAGGAGAGAGATGGCAGGATGTTTGATGTGGACCTCCCCACCCTTCTGTGACAACCAAAGGGGCTGACTCAAAACACCGGGATGGCACAGGCCGTGTTTATTAAACTGTCTGGGATGTCAGGAGAAGAGGTCCGAAAACACTTGAGTAGTGAGAATGCTTGTCATTCAAACAGCAAACGCTAGTAAGCACAATATTTCTACAGTTACAATAAAAGATTGGCCATGGAGGGAACACAGTTGGGGCCCAATTTCTCCATATGGGGAAAGATGCTGAACAGTAAGGCTTCCGCTTGAGTATGAAGACTAAAATGGCACCACCCAGCACCACCCCTGGGTCTGCACCCTCTCATCAGTGAAGGACGACATTTCAGGCACCTAATAAATTCGTCCAACAGTGAACAATGGCTCTGCACATCTCAGTTTAGCCGTCTTTTCTTTCAGTAGGAAACAGATCTCCAAATCCTACACCTGAAAGAAGCAGAATAGCTACAAGGATGTCAGGCAGTAACTTGAAATCACTGATATTTATTAGAGTGCATGTTTAAAAACTCCAAACTCTTAGAAAGTGTCCAACCCTAAAAAACTCTGAAAGTTCCCATCGGTTAATGTCAGCGTCCACTTTCACAATTTCTATCTTACAACTTAAGAGAAGGTGCTGGACCAGACACGGATAATTGGGGGCCAGACACGGATAATTGGGGGCGGGGGAGAGGGTTCCTCCGACCCAGACATCAGAAGTAGGGCCCTTGCTGCCCCCTTGTGGAAGCAGAAGACTTGCATCTCCCAATTAGACTGAGCAGTATTGATTGGTCCGTGGTTACAGACTGTTTTGAGGTTGCAGAGAGACATTCCAGATTTACCATATCACCGCCCAGCCATCCAAGCTCCAGATAAGTTAGCTCCCCTAAGCTTAAACATCATTATACTCTGGTCAGTAGACCCAACCTAGTAAGAGATGATATAAGGAAATAAGAGTCAAGTTACAACTTTAGAAATGCCTGGACAGCTCAGCTCAACTCCACTGGCAGCTTTTTGTGTACGAGTTTCTATGGGAAGACTCTGACCTCGCACACTTTGGTTTAAATGGACTCTGTGTGTGTGTGTGTGTGTGTGTGTGTGTGTGTGTGTGTGTATCAGGACAGCAAAGCAGCACACTGCTAATCAAATCTCCTTATCCAAATTAAAAAAAAAAAATTAAAGCATGTCTAAAAGGGTAAAAATACTGTCAAATTAGATTCCTACCCACTCATCCAAAAGCAAAAATCATTTCCATTAAAGACCAAGACATAATTTGAAGGAGATGCTAAACAAATGTGAAGTTTTAACCAAGCCTTAATCTAGGCAGACTGTTGGTCAAAACCCCTGTTGGTAGTGCATCCCCAACACCCGATGGAGAGTTCACCCTTCCAAAGCCATTGCAAATCCTTAAGTTCCCAGCAGGAGCTGAAGAAGGGAAATCCCAGCCACCTCCGGGTTCAGGGGATGGGAAGGGGGAGGGCCTTCTCTGTCATAGTTCCGATGGGCAATCATCTTTGCAAGGGAATAATATTGCAGCTGAAACACAAAATAAAAAGGGATTCAGATTTATGTTTTACACGCCATTAAGAAAATCCAGAAGATGCTCTCCTACTTCTCTTGCATTAAATCTTTCATTTTGTGTCTTGATCCTAAAGCAGATGCTCAGAGCAATCCTTCTGCTTACTAAAAAGGGAGTGAAGTGAGGGGCAGTGTGCACAGTGGATGGGGCCCGGGACTTGTAGTCAGAAAACCTGAGTTGAAATCCTAGCTCTAGCTACGTGGTCATGGACTCATCTTTTAAATTGGATGAACCTGCTTCTTCCTCTGTAAAATACCTGTAATGCCTACCTCAGAGGGCGGCTCACTGTGAGACTCCGATGAGATGGTGCACGTGAAGCACTTTGTAATCCTTAATATGCTACATAAACGTTAGCTTTTTTCATTATGGCCGACGGGGAGGTCAAGCTGACCTTCAGGCCTCTACTTGGAACAATTTACAAATTAAAGCCCTTGAGGAGGGGCTGAACAGGACTCAAGCAAATGCTGTGTGCAAAGTACCTTGTCACCATCTAATAGGAATCAACACAGCCTAACACAAGAACACGCTTCCTTTCCAGCTGCCCGTGGCTGGGAGGGCTAACCGAACCGGGGCCCCTGAACGTGACGGAGGTTCAGCGCTGCAATGTCAGGGAAGGATTCAGAGCTTCTCAGCGAAGAAAGCAAAGGCAGGAAGATGACATGGACAAACCAACCAAACAATGACACAAATGAAAATGAATGCCGTGAATGTAGAAAGAGCCGACACATGAAATGAATGACGGCCCCAATGAGAGAAAATGGTGACACCCATTCTGGTATGGTTGTGCAACACTGTACGATATGTCAGATTCTTTCAATATAAGCATCAGTTTTTCTAATTTCTCCCTCTTTTTAAAAAATTCTTTGGCTCTCTGGGAGTGGGGAGGGGTGCAGGGGAAAATCTAGGCAACATAAAAACAAAAGGACGCCAAAAAGATCAGTTTTTTACAAAAGAACAAGCTTGGCCCCAAAGAAGACCGATAAGAAGACCTCTCCCTCCCCTGCTCCTTGGCGGAGGTCAGGTCCACAGGTGGGGAACATTGCAAACAGGCTCAGATTTTTTTGATGTGTTGAATGCTATTGATGAATTTCTCCCCTCTTCTTTTTAAAAGTATTTATTATCATGATGGCTCATTGAGAAGCAGGAGGAGCAGGAGGGATGCTGGGGAAAATTGAGGCATGAAAAACAAGAAATAAATAAACAAAAACATCCACAATCCACATGATGACTGCACAACGTGAACAGAAAGAATAAATGATGCTGGACACTTCCCTAATGACCAAGCCTGGCCCCAGAGCAGAGTGGAGAGAACGTGCCTCCTTCCTCCCCCTCACTGCCCTGTGGGGCGGGAGAGGGAGATCCTTGGAGGGAGGGTCGCGCTTTGCTGTGAACACTGCATCTACTTTCAGATTCAGTTAAGATATTAATTTTGCTGAACTACATTTTCCCCCCAATTTCTTTTTTGTTATGAGACGTGACTTAACGAGAGGAGAAGGTCAGGAGAGAGATTTGGAAATGAAGGTGCTATAAAAGCAAGAGAAAACAACAGGAATTTTTTTAAAAACCAAAGAGTACGCAGCTTTTCCAAATTCATCTTACCCCAGCAGTCCTTTCCCAGCCCAGCGCATAGGGACAAGCCTCAGCTGGAGCCTCTCGCCTCTCCGGAAAACTACCACATTCAATGGATGCTGAAAGGCAAGGAACAGCCAATCAGAGAGTCAAATCAGAAGCAATTTCCTGAAATCAAGTTCTGGTAGTGACATTGCCAAGCCTGTGCCAGCCTGCTTGAGCCGGGACAGGCAGGCAGGGAACGGGGCAAAGTCCCAGGGATTCTGGCCCAAACCGTCCACTCCCAGAGTCCTGAAGAGCAGATTCGAGCAGCTCTTACTTCCCTTTCCCTCAGAGCGAAGACACTCGTTCTGAAGGAAACCAAACTCCATCAGCATCAGGCAGGAGGAGAGGGGGTGAGGCAAGCGCTAAACCAGCGCGGAGCATGTTCTGGAGATCCTCAACGCCCCCACCAAGGACCAGGTTGGGGGATTCGATGTTGCCCCAAAGGGCCTTAGTTTGGGCTGGAACAACAAGGGACTTTCAGCAAGAAAGGACAATTCACATCGCTTTCTGCAAGCCAACTTGAAGGCTTTTTTCTCCCTAATTAATGAGCTTCACTGATGTATTTTACTAGTACCCTTTACCTATCAGAATAAGAATTCATGGAATCGTGGAATTGTAGATTTAAAGTTCGAGAAGGTGTCTCTGAAAGTCATCTAGTCCAGAGCTTCTTAAACCATGGGTCACAACCCCATAATATTTGGTAATAGTAAAAGGTTTCTGAATGCACAATGCACACAAATTAATTAAAAATCAAACACATAATGAATCTGAGCTGTTTCTGGCATCTCACAACTTCACTGCAGCCTTGGCTCTGAACATTGCGCATGCCACACAAAACCAATGAATGCTGCCTAAAGCAGAAAGGGGTCACAAGTGGAAAAAGTTTAAGAAGCCCTGAGCTAGTCCAAAGCCTTCATTTTAACAGATGGGGAAACTGAGGCCTGGGGTTTAACTGAGGTTAAATGACTGCCTAAGATCACACATGTTAGTAAGTGGAAGGACTGGGATTTGAAGCCAGGCCCTCTGATTCCAAAGCTAGCATCCATCCCACTACACTGTGATGCTGGGCATCCCCAGAAGTTTCTGAAAAATCTTCAAAAGTCCCTGGAAACCAAGGGAGCCCCACTCCAACTCACCACCATCCAACTCGGCAGCCAATTTTCAGCACCTGCTATGTTTCAGGCATTGTGCCAGAGGCTGGGAACACACTAAAGCAGAACCTCCCTTGGGCACCGTGCCAGGCAGGGCCCAGCACTGGAAAGAGCCTGAGGGTCTCTCCACAGAAGTGTGGGTGTCCAGACAGGGTTTCTGGAGGAAGGACTGTTTTGGCTAAAATAAAAGGGACTGAGGAGTGCCTGGGGTCAATCTCAGAATGAGAGAAGAAAGGATATGGCCACCCGACTCACTCCTTCACTGTGCTGGACCACTGTTCCAATGTTCTGCAGATTCTGGAAGTTGTGGGCATTCACTGAGCCAAACTCCACAATCTCATCATCCACTTGGAGACCCTAGAAAGGTGAGAGCAAAAACATGGGAGGTCTTAATGAAACTTCCACAGCCCATGCCAATGGCAGCCAAGGTGCTGATGTGTTTTGATTAACAGTATTTTGTTATAAAGGAGCAATCATAGGATCGTGCACTTAGACCCGGAAGGGACCTCAGAGGACCTCCAGTCCAGCGCTTCTTAAACTGTGGGTCACTGAAGGGGTCGTGAGTGGAAAAGGTTTAAGAAGCCCTGGTGTAGCCCAATGTCCTCATCTGACACAGGATATTAAAACCCAGAGGAGAGTGATTCGTGCAAGCTCTCAAAGGCAGTCGTGAGTGACATGGCAAGGAGTGCGGTCAACTCCTGCAAGAGCCAGGGTGGTACCAGAGGCGAAGAAGAAGGGTCACTGGCATCAACAAAACCCTTTAAAAATCCAGTGACATTTGCCAGTAAGAACCGCAAAGTGACTATTTTCTTCTAAAGGGAATAATCCTGAAGATTAGAAATGAGTAATTTAGACACTTGGAGGGTAGAAACTGCTGGTTCCATGGCAGACATGGTAAGAATATCACTAACAAGCTTCTGCTACTTGTGACACTTCTGGGTCCCCTTTGAGGGCCACCTGACTAAAAGAACATTCTGAAATGAAAAGTGTGGCTATCACTGGGGCCTGCATGTGGGTTCTGGGGCAAAAACAACCACTGGCTCTCACTGCCCTCAGGAGCCCTGGCTCTATTTCCTGCCCTCAGCACTTAACTGGGCTACAGAGGGTGTTCCAGAGAAATCCAATTCAGAGGGAAGAACAACTGTCAATGATCTTTGTTCTCATTCCATTCCAACCACCATCCAGGAAAACCGGGGAGGAGACTCACTCTCTTTTCCAGGTGAAAAAAGCATTGAGAAGACAAGGGTTTGGCCCAAAGTGCCCTGGGCCTGTGGAGAGCAGGAGACCTGCTGCCCATGGGCCAAGCCTTGTACCATTTCCCTTCCCAATAAGCTGTTCTGACTTCTGCCTTCAGGGTCCTGCAGCAGCTGCCCAATTTACCGAGTTGCTGGCAGGAGAGCCCGGGCTGATGCTGTTCACTTTAGCAAAGGGCTGAGGGGGACTGTGGCTCAGGCCCTGGCCTTGGCTCAAGGCCTCATTCTGCGCCTCGGCTGCGTCCCTTGCTTGCTTCTCTTTCCCACTGGCATGGAGCTGGTGCAAGGCTTCTTCTACCTGCTTCATCAGGGCTTTGTGGTCATTCTGCAGACCTAGAAGGGAAACTCCTTGTAGAGAAGGAAGAAAGCCATGCCCCCAAAACAAGGCCAATGTACATCTTTAATCCCACATTCCTAGTCAGGCAGTTGCCTCAACACATTTCCCTTCAAGGGAAAAGGGGCAGATGGTTAGTTGAGTACTATCTCCAAATGTTCCCCCCCAAAACGGTGCTGCACAGTGATGGGCCCGAACATGGTGTTTTAGTAGCATCTGTCACTGTGAAGTTAGCCACCCAATACAACGGCTTTCATCTGTGGGAATCTCACCGCAGAATCTTAAGATCAGGGATTTAGAGCTGGAAGGGACTTTGAGGGTTGAGTCCAACCCCCTGGTTTTTTACAGATGAGAAGACTGAGGCTTGGAGAGCTTAAGTTATGTATGCAAAAAGGCAGGCAGTGGCATAGGTGGGTCTTCTGACTCCAACCTAAAAAGCTCACTTATCATGACCACTTTACCAGAAAGTTTGACTGAGGGCCAGAGGTATTAAATGAACCTGAGTTCTAGGGATTCAAGACCTGAACTTCTGCTCCTTGTTTCCCACGCTCATGGGAGGGCCGTCCCGCTCCTCTGTACTCACAGATAATGTTGTGCCTCGCCGTACGGACTTGATACACATCCACATCTGCTCGAGGATATCCCTCAACGTCGACCAGAGGCTCATTCATCCCAACTCCTTTTTGCTGGGGAGAAGAAACGAGGTTAATGGATGTCATTAACATAAACTCATCACGTTCTCTTTTCCCAAAGCATTTTTCTTTGTACCTATGAGGGGAAAATATGGGTACTTAGAAGGGAAAGCATAGATCTGTTAAGAAAAAGAATCTATACCTAGTACCTAAGGACAAATGCCACAGGCAACCTGGTCTGAAGGAAAGAATCCTGCGTTTGGAGTGTTGGACCTGAGTTCAAATCTAGACTCTGGCATGTGCAACCTGAGTGTTGTTGGGCAAGTAATTTACCCTCCTGGTACCTCAATTTCCTTATCGGTAAAATGAGAGGGCTGGACTAGATGGCCTGTAAGAGGTCTTGCAACTCCAGATTTGTGACCTCATGACCACCTTGGCCAGGACCTCAGGAACCAGGTCTGACAGACGGTTGAGTGCGTGCTCGACATGCAGTCGATTTCAGGGCGTGCTCCCCAACCTTTCTGTCTTCTGCCCTTTTACTACCCTCCCCTCATGCTACTATCCGGCTACACTGGCCTCCAGGCAGTGGCGGAGAGAGCATGGAAGCAACTATGTATGAACAGGTTATGTGATAAATTGGAGATACCGACAGAGAGAAGGCACAGGAAAGAGGATCAGGAAAAGTTTCTGGTGTTTATTGTTCAGTCATTTCAGTCACATCCTACTCTCTGGGACCCCATTTTGGGTTTTCTTGGCAAAGGGGCTGGAGTGGCTTCGCCATTTCCTTCTCCAGCTCACTTTACAGATGAGGAAACTGAGGCAAATGAAGTTAGTTGACATGCCTACTCCCTCCTTCCTGTTCCTCTCACAGCGCACAGCTTCCGGCCCTGTCTGTGCTGGTTCTGTGTCGGGTGCTGCGAGAATCGGCTCAGTGCCCTCCACAAGCTTCCAGGCCTCTGGTCATCTCCCTATGCTCACTGAGGCCAGAAAAATGACTCACTGGTTTTCCCCGGGTTTCTGATCCTTACTCAGTCTGCTGTTCTTCCTTGATTGCTGCTGGACTAACTGTGGAAAAGAGCTGGGTTATACTGCCTCCTCCTACGCTGCCATCTTTAATGATCTTCCCTTCCTCTCTAAATTTCCCTCATGTACAATTCTGAACATGTCACTTCTTGGCTCAAAAACTTTGCTGGCCCTCTATTGCCTCAGAAAAACTATAAAACCCTCAGCCTGGGGTTTAAGGCCCTCCCCATTTTAGCTCAAAATGACTTTTTTTGTTTTTTGGTTTGTTTGGTTGGGCAATGGGGGTTAAGTGACTTGCCCTGGGTCGCACAGCTAGTAAGTGTTATGTGTCTGAGGCCGGATTTGAACTCAGGTCCTCTCGAATTCAGGGCCATTGCTCTATCCACTGCACCACCTAGCTGCCCTCAAAATGACTTTTCTAGCCATATTTCACATCACTACTTCTCACAAACTCTATGTTCAAGCCAAGCTGGACTATCAGTTGTTCCCTATATTATGTAAACATGCCAATTCTCACCTTTGGGTGTTTCCACAGAGTATCCCCCCACGGCTGGAATGTACCTCACCTCTACCTCTAAAATCCTCAACTTCCTTTAAGGATAAACTCAGGGCCTCTCCCTGGCCCTCTCCCACTGAGGTACTGTTCATCCTGCTCAAATTACTTAGTATCTATTTATCTGTGTACTGTCGCAAGTGAAATTTAACAAATAAGTAAACTGAGGCACATTTCTCTGCACAAGATAGTATTTTATTCACAGGGCACAAAACCTGAGAATAAGATGGATTAATGGCTACCTCAGTTTCCAACCAAAGACCCAAGCAAAAGGATAGCTCCCCTTTTATAGGTTTTTGGGAGTACAGAACAAAGAACAGAACAGAGTAGGTGACATCATGGGGTTGAGGGCAACATGATAGTTAGACAGCTGAGATGTGGAAAATAATACGATCAGTTGGAGTTGGAAATGAGAGGCTAGCAATAGCCCCCTTCTTCCCTCCTCTGACTAATAAAGTTCATTGTTTGAGTCCACCTACAAGGCCAAAGATAACAGCCCAGACTTCTTTGGACAGCAAGCCAGACATCCTTGAAGGGCAGCTTGGTGATGCAAAGATGCTAGGCCCAACTCCCTTACAGCACGTGGAATTCCCCAAGGTTAGCAGAATTCGTTGAGGCAAGAACAGAACAGTCATCAGCAAGAGAACTGGATTTCTAAACTTAACCTATTATAGGCCAGCTGAATTCTGAACTAAGTTTAAAGACAGAGAACTTAGGAAGTTACAAGGATAAAATCAATTACAGGATGAAATCAGTTAATTGTAAATAGGATCAATAAAAAAATGATACGGAATCAATTTAATCTTCTCAGTACGTAGTGTTTCCCCATCCCTTACCCCCAGCAGAAAACAAGCTTCTTGAGAGCAGGCCCCTTCAGAAGCAGTAGTAAGATAAATATTTGCTGAATTGAACTGCTGAACTGAGTGTGGATATGAGCTAACAATAATAAGCACCTTGTATGGGATATTCTGGAGTTTAATCTCCCCCCAGCTCCAAAGGGTTAACAACCTGATAAGACAGACAGGAGTGAAAACCCTCAAGAGAAGAAAGCTATTGAAACTTTACTCTTCTGAAAATCGGGCATCCTAAAGACTTTTTAAAACCATCCTTCCTAAATAAAAAACAAAAACATGCTGTCCTGCATATCCAAACTGAACCCCCCCACCCCCAGCACAGTAAGGAGGCCTGATTCTTAGGCTCATTTTATTTTAGTTTTCCCCTTTTCAAAATGGTTCAAAACATAGCCTTCCCAGACCTCAGGAAGCCTACCAGATCAAGCCTCCTCCCCTTGGCCCTCCCAGGTTGCACACGTTTCTATCCTTCACCACATGGACTTCCTAATTTTCAGGCTAATTAATCATCGTTAATCTCCTGCCTGATGTTATGAACTCCTTAAGGACACAGATTTCCTTGTCTCCCTATAGCAGTTGGGTGATCGATCTAAAAATAAAGTGCCCCATCCTACAGAGAGCAAGTCAGCGTATCCCCAAGGGGGCTCTGTACTCTGAGTCTGTTGCCTAGAAGTGAGGAGTGGGCTCTCAGAGACCAAGGGGAGCCTGGACAGAGTCAGGGGCTACAGGCTGGGTCACTGGACTGATTAGGCTCCTGGGTCTGGGTCCCAGCAGCACTTTCAGCCACACTGGCCATCAGGGGAGGAATCTTTCAGAAGCAACGCCGGACCCCAAGAATAGGAGCTCCCATACACACAGCACAGAAACATTTACAAAGCTCCTCACATGCACTGTCTCACTTAAACCTCACAGCAAACACAGGCTGGAGAAGTAAGTCTTAGGGATAGGGACAAAACTGGTCCTGTGATTCCGCTGATATAAGAAACTCAACAACGACACAGCTCTGCATCTTCTTTCCTTCTTGTCTGGATGAGCTGAGTGCACAGGATTCCACTGAGCTCAGGAAGCCAGTATGCGCGAGAGGCAGGGATTGCCTGGTCTTCTCTCCCCCAAAGCCAGCTCTCTATCCACTAAACCGCATTGCCTCTTCTGGTGCTGGTGTCATCACCCCATTTTATTCATAGGGAAACAGGATCACAGACAAGAAGTGAGCTGCTCGGCAGATTTCAGAAAACCTGCAAAGACTTACATGAACTGATGCTGAGTGAAGTGAGCAGAACCAGGAGAACGTCGTAACACAACACTGTGAGATAATCAACTACGATAGCCTAAGCTCTTCTCAGCAATACAATGATTTAAGACAATTCCAAAAGACTCATGACAGAAAATGCTATCCACATCCACACAAAGAACTATGGAGTCTGAACGCAGATCGAAGCATAATATTTTCTTTTTTCTTTCTCATGGCTTTTCCCTTTTGTTCTGATTCTTCTTTCACAACATGACTAATGTGGAAATAGGTTTAACATGACTGTACATGTATAACCTATATCAGCTCGCATGCCATCTGGGGGGGTGGGGAGGAAGGGGGATAAATTTGGAACTCAAAATCTCATAAAAGTGAATGTTGAAAACTCTAAATGAATGAATGAATAAATAAATAAATAAAAGAAGTGACCTGCTCAGAGTCACACAGCTAGTGTGACAAAGGCAGGGTGGTGTAGTGGGTAGGGCTGGACTCAGCAGCCAGGAAGACCTCTTCAAATCCTATCTCAGATCCTTGTAAGTTGTATGACACTAAGCAAGTCACGTCAGCTCCCCAGGCCTTAGCTCCCTTCTCAATAAAATGAGAAAACTGGATTTGATGGCTTCTCAGATCCTGCCACTCTAAAGATACAATCCTATGGCTCCAGATCCTACGTGGGCAGTGCCTCGAGGGATCTTCGTCAACCAATCAATCAACATTTATGATGCAGCTACTATGTGCCAGCACTGTACTCACTCTGGGCATACCAAAAGAGAAGAGCCAGCCCCTGCCCTCAAGAAACTCACACGGCACAATGACACAATCTAATGGAGGGGACAAGACACAAACAAATACATACAGAGCAAGCAACATCCAGGATAAATGGGAAATAATGAAGAGAGAGAAGGCACAGAATGAAGACATCAACGACAGAATTTCAGTTGGGACTTAAAAGCTGCCAGGGAGGGTAGTAGTTAGAGTAGAGGAGGGAGAGCATTCTAGACATGAAGGACAGTCAGAGAAAATACCTAGAGCTGAGAGAGGGAGAACAGCCAGGAGGATGGCATCACTGGATCAAAGAGTAGTATTGGGGAATGAGGTGTAAGAAGACTGGAAAGACAGGAGGGGGCAGGGTTATGAAGGGCTTCGAATGCCAAACAGAGCATTTTGCATAGGACCCTGGAAGTGACAGGGAGCCACCGGAGTTTACCGAGTAGAGAAGTTGCTTGGACCCGGGCTTTAGGAAAATCATTTAGTGGCTGAATGGAGGACGGACTGGAGTGGGGACAGACTTGAGGCAGGCAGACCCTCCAGCAACTATTGTGAAATCCAGGCATGAGGTGCTGAGGGCCTGCGTCAGGATGGGGGCAGTGTCAGAGGA